TCATTCCTTGTTGAAGTGATCCATATAAGATAACTTTTTTTTCCCACATTTATGCTTTTGTAATTTAGAGAATGGTGTTTGAGGTACAACCGGACCTCCCATATGAATCTGGTTCTCGTTGGTGTTTTCACAAGAAAATGCTTAGGATAAAATATTCGACCACTTTTCTTCTTTATGAAAAGTGTTGTTTTGTTGTTAACATAATAACACCCATCTTCAATCCGAGAGAAGCCATGTGTTTTATTTTTTTAGATACGACTAAACTAGAAATTGAAATACAGACTATAACCTTTGCATGTATGCAGAACGGGGTCCATCCTCGCAAAACATTGAAATCCTCCATCTCCCTTCATCAACAATCCACACTCTCCACCAAGAATTTACTGCATTTCTCACACTTCCCCGTTATCCCTCGCCTCCTCAATCAACTCAAAACAACCATACCGTAACGCCTCGCTTATTTTCTTCTCAAAGCACAAGTGAAGCGTTTGGTTTCCAATATCGGAATCACCACAACCGGCGCAATTCCGCCGTGTACTGAGGTACAGGTAGGGAGTGTAAGTATAACATTTTTTTCATCAGCATCCACAACTATGAGTAAGCAGATGCCGTCTGTGGTAAAGAAGAAGCTGAATCGGGAAGGGGCATCGCCCATAAAAGAGCGTGAACGATTACGAAGATACATTTTATATTGGTGATCATATTGAAAGTGAGTGTTATCAAGTGTGCTGTCTTGGGGGTATACTCACTCACACAATACTATTATCCCAATAATCATCCCTGGCCATTGTTATTGTTGTGTTGTATTCATGCCAATCAAGAAACGGTACTGGCATCGTTTTGATGGTTATCTTTGGGGACTCTCTTCGTCACACTGTGAGCTTCTCTTCGCCGCAATAAACTAACTCTGTTTCCCGAGAAGGGATAGAATAGCACTTCATATGGAACAAAACTGGGGTCATAGCATTTGGCTATGTCTATTGGTGCCGTTTAACTGATGTCGGTTCTTCCCAAAACGCCATAGCATTGAAAGAACCGGGTCAGCAATTGCTTGCTTGCAGACGAAGGGCATGATAATGTTTGACTTTTAGGATATTTATGTACACAACAAATCAAACTCCTGATAAATTCTCCTGTTGACCATTTCATTTTTCACCCAACCATCAGATTTTATTATTATTATTTTATTTATTTTTATTCTTGGAGTAAACGTGTCAAGCCTCTTTTTAATTTTAATGTGTAAACGAGTAAGCTGGAGTTGTTAGGCATGAAGTTTAGTCATAAATGGCCAGAGCGGTTACACACAGAGCACCAACCCACAAACTTTGTTTAATGTTTAATCAGAGTTAGGTAATACCAATTTGACAATTTTTAACTGAAAATAATAATAGTTGGTGTCTGGTCAAAGCTAACAGGTCACCTAAATTTACATTTGCATCAGTAGTAGTACTGCTGTAATTCAAATGTAATTCAAAACTCACCAATTACAGTGTCAAATCCTCTGTCTCTCTTCTCTATCATACTATTTTTTCTTTCTGAAGATGAAATTTCTTCAAGGCACCTTTTTCTCATTTTTGGTCATAACCATCTCCCTAAACCAAATTCCAACATCTTGTGCTGACGATGAGCATTATCTGAAATGCAGTTCTCCGTTTCAGTGTGCAAATCTAAAAAACCTGAGTTATCCTTTCTGGGGACTTGGTAGAACCCCATATTGTGGCCACCCTGCGTTTAACCTGCAATGCACAGGTGAAGTAGCAACGCTTACCTTGATGTCAGAGAGTTATAGAGTTCTTGAAGTAAATGATTCGGATCATAGATTCAAACTTGTAAGAACTGACTACTGGAATAACATCTGTCCCACAATTCTTAGGAACATCACTGTAGATGGCACTTTCTTTGATTATGGCTCAGATACTCAGAACCTGACTTTCTACTATGATTGTCCTTCGTTTCCTCAATCAGATAGCGTTTTCCCTTGGTTTAACTGTAGTGTAAACGGAACTCAGATGATTAACTATTTTGTGACGGAGAGCATGCTTGAGAATTTCGAGTCAGGTGAAATAATGGGAGCATGCAAATCTAGAGTAGTTGTTCCGATTTTGTAGTCAGAAGCTAAACTTCTAGAAACAAACTCAACGGTGGAAAATCTTAAGGCCGTTCTTGATAATGGTTTTGGCGCGGAGTGGGATGCAAACAATAGTTTGTGTGATAAATGCCAAAACTCTGGTGGGTACTGTGGTCATAACCCAAGCTCAGGTGAATTTGTTTGCTATTGCAGGGATGAATCTTCTCCATCCACATGTAAAAATTCAGGTGAGTAAATGTGACCTAGATTTATAAACTTAGCTCCATTGTTATATTAAATATTTTTACTCAGTCACAGTTGCATCTTAAGTTTCTGCTGTTGATGGGGTGGTGAGAACGACCTCCTCTGTTTTGAATAGGATCAGCCATAAGAATTTTAGGAAGATCTGAATAAGAATGCTTCTTCTATCTGTAAAACATCATTCTTTTGGTTTTCATCTTCTTTTATCTATCTTATCAATGACTTCCTTCCAACATTGCTGCATCATCCATCTTTGAAAATATTGCAGATAGAGTGGTAGATATTAGGTAGGAGTAAGTAGCAATCAACAGCTGGGGTTTACACATTCATCTCCCTTTAACATATTTGTTGCCTTCTTTGGCTGCAATTAAACTATCTTTTATTTCTTGTCTTCTCAATAATGAATTTCCGTCTACAAAACTCACTGATACTCTGCTAAAATTTCTTGAGTCCTCATTTAAAGTTCAAATCTAGGGATAATTGGCCTGATTTGGAGTTGTGCCCGGTACACAGATTTAGATTCAATACCCCCAGGACTAAACAAACCAATTTCCAGATTTTTGCAGTTCTTTATCGGTATCTACAAATAATAATCGCTTCCTGACTTTATACTTGTATCTTTGTTTGCTAATGCAAAATATCTGTTAAGTCCCTTTAGTGGGTTCAAACCACAATTTATCAAATGTGACAAGATATTGAAGCATTCAAAAACAAGATATTTTCAACACTGGCAGCAAAAATGTTTGGCTGTTATAAGAAAAGTCATGCATACGAGGATGGTAAAAAGAAGGTTAAAGTCGCTTATGAAAACCTCATGTTCGTAGAAACATTCTTGCTCAGCAAGGTTATTATCTTTTCAATACACGTAATTATGGGTTAAGTCTTACATGTTCAAATCCTGCGCCTAAATTAAATATATGTTTTCTGACTTCATGTTTTTAGTTGCCATCGCATGTGTCTCTTTTCCTTAACTAACATATTCCGATGCAGCTCCTCCGTCTGAACCATCCGGCCAAAACGTCCAAAAACCACGTGTAACACTGATTGAGACCTTTCTGTCATACTTCTAGATTTTGAACAGCCACCATTTTGAACCATGCTGTAACAGTATCATTTGTGTTTGACTTAACTCAATATTATATACGCATCCTTTACGAACTTCCCTTAAAAAATAATTTCCTGTTCCACTATCCCATTATTTTAAAGTGTATGAAACATGAAAAAATAATTTATTCGGCTGCTATTGCTAAAGCCTCAAATCTCAAATTTTAATTTTATTTTTCAAACGTTGTCAAAGTCCAAGTCAAACAAATTCATCTTCATGTTTTTTTTTCTTTACTATTCTTCTTACTTCGTTTAAAGTTCAAATCATAGGACCATAGTTCATAGGACTGCCACCAGGGACGAACAATAAACCATGTTGTCCCTGTCGTCGACCACCACCACCACCATTGTAGCCATCACCCTCATCTTCTCTCTCCACCACACCACGTCGTTGCAACCCTACGCACCGCTCTCCACCTGCCAACTCACCTTCTTCAACTGCGGCACCATCACCAACCTTTCCTACCCTTTTACCGGCGGTGACCGCCCCTCCTTCTGTGGGCCACCACAGTTCCATTTGAACTGCCAAGACGGTGTCGTCCCCGTGTTGAACATCTCATCAGTGAGCTACCGAGTCATCAGTACCAACTCGGTGGCTCAGACCTTCACCTTAGCGAGATTAGACCTTTGGAACGAGACATGCACGAATGTTTACGTGAACTCAACTTTTGATGACCCATTCTTCGGCTATGGTTCGGAGAACCAAAACCTGACCTTGTTTTATGAGTGCAAACCCACCTCAGCGTTCACCGAAACACCAAAAAATCTGTTTCACTGTGAGAGTAATGGGGCTTTGAATGAGTCTTATGCTTTGGTTGGTTCTTTACCTTCGGATCCTATTCTTGGAATTGTTGAATGCGTTCAACATATTTCAGTTCCAATTCTAAAAGAACATGCTGATAGGCTGGTGGAAAACCGGTCTTTGCTTCGGGAGATTCTGATGAAGGGGTTTAATGTGAACTATTGGAATCCTTATGAGAGTGTGTGCCTTGAGTGTGTTGGTTCTGGTGGCCATTGTGGCTTTGATTCTGATAACAACCAACATATTTGTATTTGTGGGGACCAATTGTGTTCAACTCCAGGTATTCCAGCTTTTCGTTTGGTTCGTTCTCTTTAAGTGCTATCTTTTCTTCCTCTCTTGATTCCCTTTCGTCACCTATTTTCACTGTGTTTGGTTCCATATCAAACACACATCTCAGATGTGATTTTTAAGAAGCTAAAAGTTATATAGTGTATTTGATTTGGTAGCAGAAAACTGTGGTGAATATACAAAGCACGATGAAATTACCATAAAAGCAAATACTTATTATATTAAAAAATCATGGTGAGTTCAAACTCACCTTGTAACAAAACATGCAAATAGTTTCCATGTCCCAAATGTGATTCCTTACTTTTTAATTGATTGTTGACAATGTTTGTTATTAGGGGTTTGAACTAGAATTCATTTCGAAAGTTGATCCTGTAAAATTGATTTTAAAACAAAGAACTTTGTATTTAGGTGTTGACATCGAAAGCAGTAAATAGTAAAATCTTTAAACCAACACAAAAACTTTACAACTAATTATGGACTTTGTAAAACATGTTCAAACTATAAATATTTACTTTAAAACATGTTCAAATCAGTAAAACATAGCTAGTATTTTAAAGTGATTTTAGATATATCTTAAACCAAGCACTCACTCAGTATGAATCAGGTGCCACTAAAGATTGTAAAACTCTCAATTTTCATTCTTTTTTGGTGAAAAATCTGGCTATGCTTCTTTTCCTGCAACTTAATTCGCATTTATATTTACAAGCTTCCACTTTTCATCGAATCGGTTAAGAGAGAAATTGAGGCTTTATTAGCTTCTCGTGTTGACTACCTTTCATTTTCATCCCTCTGATCCTTTGTTTTGACATCTTATTTGTTTTGGAATATTGCAGGTAGTCACAAGAATGTAGGTGTAGCAATAGGTAACTTTCATTTTGTTAATTTAATAGTACAAACTTAAGTGCTTCCATTTTGTTTATAGAATTGTACTGATGTCTACTATTGGTACTGTTATCAGGCGCTATTGTAGGAGGAGTTGCAGCCCTTGTTGTCATTCTTGGATGTGTGTACTTTATTATACAAAGAAGAAGAAAAATTTATCAAAAATCAAGAAGTATGGAGCTCTTCATAGCTCCAACTTCAAGCGGAGATACTTTTGCATCAACTACTATCACGTCTCAAAGTCTATCTTCTTACCAATCTTCCAATCCAGTAACCAGGAGTTACTACTTTGGTGTCCAGGTCTT